CATGGTTTACATATTGTGAGCCATAGAGACATGGGATGGAGATTGAACCTCCAGCCTTCACTGACACTTTGCTGACTGTAGTTATGCTGTGAATTCCTGCAACAAGAACAGATACAGCCTTTTACTGCATATATAGCAAAATAAATGTGTCTTATACCCAGTTGTCTCCAAATAACGTTTAATTCAGAGACACATCTTTGTATTACTCTTCTGTGTGACATCTGAAGAATGACAGAGTGTATTTAATTACTCATTCCATCATAATCTGACATAAACAGGTCAAACATGACTTAACATACAAATACAGTTACCCTTGTGACTGACCTGTAAGTCCGGTGACGATGAGAAGAACTCTGAGAGGAACATCCATGTCGGTGAGTGAGCAGGGTCAGACAAAAAACATCATGGGCTGATGCACTGAGTAATTTTCTACTTCCTGATTTTCTTAAACATGCAATTGCAGCTGTATATCTCTTCCTCTTCCTTTTATTAAGGCAGCTACGCTAATTTGGATTCAAGTGGTTTCTGTTCATGAAAAAAAATAACAAGTAAAAACAAACAATAAAATACTTGAGTTAAAAATAATAGTGCTAATTTATATTTTTTAATTTTCAGTTTTTATTTGCACAATAATGAAGAGTAAGACTTATCACATTGTTTATTTTCATTCCTTTGAGTCAGCCGTTTCTTAATTATGCCCAATATTACACCACACCCCGAAGTTATCCCACTGAATCGAACCCTAGATGTACTGGAGATTATTGATAAAATGAGATAATCAGATATTGAAGTATGTGAGGATCTCATTGAAACCAGTGTGTGGAGGAGGATTGGGGATGAAAATGAATAAAAGGGACAGTTCACCCCATTTCATTATTTGTGGAAAGAGTCATTGCTGCTGAGTTTTTCCAATGTGTTTTTTTGGCAATTTGAGCACCACAAGCAAAGTGCCACCTAGTTCCATTATACTCGAGAAAAGGCAGACATTTTTATGGCGGATATCACCAACACTTAGCAACACACACCAAAACAATCAAGATTCATAATTAGCACGACAGGTAAGAGGAAAGTGTGTTTTTTTATTTTTTATTTTGGGGTGAAGTGTGTCTTTACGGTTCTCTCTGGATCACGATACTGTTCAATGTCAATATGTCAACTCATGGTTGGAGAAGCTGCACCAGGAGATAATGGAGTGAGTTAAACCATTTCACTCACAATGTCACTTCCTTAATTTGGTCAATTTAACTGGCGTCAGATCTGCTTTTGGTCAACATTCAAACTTCTGCTCTTACTCAATGTGGGTGGGTTGATTGATTTATCAAGGCGAGATTCTGTAATTCTGAAGTGCACATCAGAATTACTTCATCAGCGTTGCCATTCTTGCAGGATTAATGTCCTCCCATCTTTTCTGATAATTGGCACTTATTCCGTTTTAGTGTGAAGTGTGCTGTAGATCACACTTCCATCTACTGGTTCAATCTAAGGGGAGAAAACAAGCACATGGAGGAAACACTGAATAATTATTGACTAATCATAACCACAATCGTAATACATTTGAGTTGTCAAAATTCATTGAAATGAATCACATACCATTTGTCGCACGCTATCCTTTAGTACAATGGTACTGTATGTCACACTCTCTTCAGGAATATCTTTCTGCTGGAGGAGATTTGCAGTCAGAGTGATACAATTTCAGGAGAAAGACGTAAATGTAGTCAGATGTGTTTTTAGGTGCCGCTCTCATTAAATAATGTGTTAAACAAAATAAGAATTTCCCGTCTGGTTTACCTGCTGCTGGGCTGCTGCATGTTGAGTATGAACAATGGTGGTGTAGTGCACATCAGGATCACTCCCAATTTGTGAGCCCTATGAGGGATGAATTTGAACATTGACACTAATCCCATCGCATATTATGTTATGTTACAAATATTTGCTCTCTCCTGTCTAACAGCACAATTGTCTGGTTAATTTGAATTTAACTGGAAGATTTGCATGTCAGAGGTTTGCTCTTTTGGAGTATATGCCTGTGTCGTGTTGAAAACTGATTAAACAACAGGACTGCTATTAATCCCTTCCAAACTCCGTTTAAATGAAAGTAAACCTAATTATATTTATATGATCTGGAGATCTTTATTATGTGTAGAGTATTCATATAGACTACATGTTATTTCCGCTATGGGTTCAATAGTTCACAGTTGTTTTTCACACATGATTTATTTTTATCCTACTACATGCATGAAAGCAGAACTGTCATTGATAACAAAAATTGGATGGGTAACAGCTTTTGGAGAACAGTTGTGCAGTTAGTTTTAGTAACTCAATAAAATCTATCTAAACAATGTCGAACACTCTTTGCACTGGGTTTCACCTCTCAAGCCACATTGGTCCTATAAGCAAACTTCCAAAGAAGAATTATTTAAATGTTTGATAAGAATGTAAGGCCGCTGCTGAGTCTAAATTATTGTTCTGGTTTTAAAAATACTTTGTTAGATATCAAGATAATATTTTTGCCAGGTTTTCCATTTTTGCTGTTTTGAGCTGAAAATGAGGGTGAGGGTTATGTAATAGATCCATTGTGATCCTGGACGGGTTATCTTTTGGTTTAAATAGTGCAGTATATTACCATGTGCCAGATATATTAATTTATAGACAACTCACACTCAATGTAAGTATTGTATATTATATACTTGATTGGTCATGCTCCTTAAATGCTGTTAATGTGTTGTATGATCAGTCCAAATTTAGACATACAGTAAAATGTTTAATTTACATGGCAAAGAGGAAATATGACAGTGTGGAAGATATGCATGACCTTACTAATAATAACAAACATGGCTATATCTTACCGCAGTGATGGCAGACCCCTCAGGCTTGTTCTTATCTAAAATGCATACATTTAAAAAACAATTGAATAACTGATATTTTATTCATGAATTTGTTTCAGCAGAGATTACAACAGACTTACTACGTCTCTTCATCATCATCCTCCATCCAAAAAAGGCAGCGGGAACAACCAACAGCAGTAAGACGAGGGTGGTGGTGAGAATCGTAACCTTAGTAGAACTAGAAGAGAAATGCAGATCAGATATACATTTAACTAAATAAACGGGGTAATGTTGTCTGAAATTGGCTAATGCATACATGTTTCTATCATAGGTTTAATTTTTTAACTAAAGACCTGTTAATGCAAACACATTTCATCTATGTGTTACATAGAATTTGGAAACACTGAAGAATGAATGATACAACTTTTTTTTTTCGAATGAACTTCCCACACTGAGGTGCCATTATGCGTTTTGAGGAGATTGTACAATAAATATCATATCAGTTGTTAAACTGTTCAAAGTCAAATAAAGATGTTCAGACCTCTTGTGTTCTTGCAGGCTCTCTCCGCCTGTCCCGTTTATGGAGGAGTTTGTGGGATGAGCTGGATGTGGTGCTGCACTTGTACGCAGAGAGGAATACTGGGTAGTGGTTGGAGATGGTCCTGTAAAGTCATTGTTGTCATTGTTTCAGGATTTGATATTTGTTACCTATACTTACTAGTCCACTTACTAGCTTCATTTTTTTATGACAGGTCGCTAATTTTTGAAAATAGAAAATGATTGATAGCTCACTTGCTGTTGTGGGGCTGATTGTAGTTGAAGTAGTTGAGGGTAACTCATGAACAGTTACATGCACTGGCATCTCAGATTGTCCATTGACACATAAATACCAGCCGCTGCTCTCTATCCTCAGTTTACTCATAGTCACAGTGAAAACATTTGGGACACTTGAGTTGATGGTCACTGCTGTTCCATCAATTGATCCAGTTGGGCCTGTTGCACAGGGCCTGCCCAGTATGCTCAGCCTGCACCACTGTGCTCCTTCTGCATATTCAGAGTGGCACCTGACAGTCACACTTCCTCTATCAAATGTGCTGATTTCCTGTTGGTCCACATATAGACTTGGCATACCTTGAAAAAAGAACAATACAAAATGAGGCATAGTCTGATTGTATTATCTGAGACATGTGAGAATCTCGACTTGATCTTTTTTTTTTTTCACAAACCCAAAGTAGTTAACAGAAAGGATTTAAATTGTGCTTTAACAGTCAATGGATTTTACCTGAGGTGGTGACTGACAGCTGAAAACGTTCTTTGACATCAAACTTTTTAATAATCTTCACAGCACAGTAATAACTCGAAGTGTCCTCATCCCTCAGATCATTGATAGTCACAGTAAAGATTCCTTTGTTTGTGTCATCAGAGATTGAAAACCTTTCGTTTGTAATAACAGAGCAGGACAAAAAAAACTGTCCTTTACACAAGTATTTCACATTGTTTTTGTATGTCAGCTCATAGAGACATGGGATGGAGATGGAGCCTCCGGCCTTGACTGACACTTCACTCACTGTCACAATTTGACTGTGAATTCCTGACAAAACAACACCAAACTATTATTTTACAGTGGTGGGATCAAATACATTTTTTAATGACCATCAGTTAGAGGTTAGCCAGTGACATAGCTACATAACACATCTGTTACAAGTTAGTATCATTACTTAAATGTTTTTCATGAAAACACAATATTAATGACATATTAGTGACTTGTTGTCAATTAAAAAGTAAGACTCAAACAGCAATATATGGGTAGCAACAATATTTTATTAATTATAAAGCAGACTATCATGTATGCATAGAGTTCTAAATACAGCTTAGCACTTACCCATGAGTCCAGCGAGTATTAGGTGAGAAACAAATGGAAAAATCATGCTTGCATCAATCTCTTGAGTGAAAGAGCACTTTCAGTACTACGGTGGTGAATTTTAACTCTGCTGCTTCCTCATTTCTAAACTTTTACTCCTCCTGCTAAAAATCTTATGGTCTGATTTGTTTCTCTTTCATATTTGAATATGGGTGGAGAGACACATCATTTACAGAGGTTACTTCCCCAAACAAAAGACACAAAAGAGGAGGGAAGAAACAATCATGCCCACATATGTGACTCAGCAGGGATAACATTAAATGAGAAAAGTTGATCTACAGGAGAATACATATTTGAAAGCAATACAGAATGCCTGAGAGCCTTACTGCATCATATTTTTAATTGTTATTGGGCACCTGTATTATGTGTTTTCCTTTACATAAACAAAGAAATGTTAACCATGAATTGGTGCAACAAAATAAATTCACCAGAATGCAGGAGCTTAAGTGTTTGAAGCTCAACATTTCCTGAGGGAGTATCCCAAGACCCCCATAATACTGATGCCTCTGTGTGACTAGGCGAACCAGCAACTACTTTTTAGGTTGTTTTTTTAAGAGACATGGAACCTCAAAAGCTGAAAGACCCACAAAATGACCTGCTGCTTTGTCCTACAGGGATAGTAGCACCCAGGACTGGCTCAAAAACGGTGGTAACAAAATAATGTATTTAACTAACTCTAACCTTAGAAGTAATGGTAGGCTAGGTTATTAAGTTCCCTTTGCTTTAGTGTATTTGTGTTTTTGAACGGCTCTGACTTGAGCCCCAAGCTCACATCTTCAGCATGTTGACAAATTCAAGCCTCGACAGGCCCGCCCCCGCGCGTGCTAACAATTTGCTAGCTCTCATTGGACAATCGCTCTGTTCAAAGGGCGTGGCCAACCTGGAGACGGTTGTGCTGCCTTCGTCGACTTTTGATGACGTGGTTATGTAACTTCACATCACAGCGCGAAATACTAAGCGACAGAAAGGTATCTCGGCGCACGGTTTAACTTTAGTAAGCTGGTGAGAGCTGTGCGGTAACGGCATCACCAGCCAGCGGGTGTATATTCAGTGATGGAGTACGGGAAGGAGAGAGTGGTGGCGCTAGTAGACATGGACTGCTTTTACGTCCAGGTGGAACAGAAACTCAACCCAGCTCTGAGGAACACTCCCTGTGTGGTGGCCCAGTACAAGACGTGGAAAGGAGGCAGGTGAGTTTCTTGGCGGCCAAGAATCTTTTCAATATAGACTAAAACTATAAATTAGAAGACATGTTATAAATATTATGTCTGGCTCCACACAAGTATGTAACATAGATCACTGTTGATCCTACTTCAGTCTGCATCATTCATCATTGTTCAGGGACTTCAAGCTAATGCTTTGACTGAGGTCACCTGATTGAAGGAGTCTATTGGGCCTCCTTGTTACCATCACTTATACAGCAAGGCCTGACACTTTATGACTTTATACATCACGGTACACAAACACTCATTCCTCCTTTTACACGATCGGCCATATAAACTGTCAAAAGACTATAAAATGGTAATGGCTAATAACTTTCAGATGTCAACAGTAATAGAGAGCTAACTGAATGTAGCTTACAAGTGCCTCCAAAGCTAATAGTTATCTACAGTATAGGGGAGGAATTGACTCGTTTTGTAAAAATATAAAAAATAAAATCAAAGTATTGATACACACCACTAAAATTGATTTAACATATTTAGAAACGCTGTAGATGTAATATCTTAATACCTATTCCAGTCCCCATGTGCCCCATGCCACCACTGCTCATGCTGCCTCCAAATCCTCCACCTAAAGGAAGAGAAGGCAAGTCGGTGTAGATTAGACCACAGCTCAACGATTTCACATCAGCAAACATCAGCCCGTACACAAAAAGCAACCCCTAAATCTCATCATAACTCAAACCCAAGCTACACAGAGGAACATGCATAACCTCCACTGTGTCTGCAGTGCAATGATGAGAGGATTCAGGGTTGTCAGAGTATCACTTACCCATTCCTCCAAAAGAGTCGCCAAATCCTCGATTCATTGGCATGTCGGTGTGGCCAAAGTCACGATCCATCCCACCCATTCCTGACCGGTACATATCTCAACAGAAAAAGAAAAGTAACCTTAGCCTTAAGTTACCAATAACCCAATGGTGCCTCTCATTGTTTACAGTACAACATCCCACAGCTGAGCCTCATCTCTAACTAGTATGAGTGATCACGCTCACTCACCTCCCATCCGGCCACCTGGCGCCATGTCTCTCCCTCCAAAGCCACCCATGTTGCCCATACTGTCCATGCCCCCAAAGCCCCCACCACCACTCATTCCTGTCAAAAGCAGCAACAGAGACATTTATTTTCATGATCAACGCAACTGAAATTTGAAGAGGGGGATCAGAATATAATACTCAAAGTAAGAGCTGCAGGATGAGATAAATGACAGGACAGGACATAACTCACTAGAATGACCAGACTTGTGTAAGTCCATTCTTTCACTTAGAAACTCAAGTCATCCGCCTTCATCTCCCACAGATAATCACCTCGAACATACTATTAACTCACTCACGACTTGTTAACATGCAGTTCTCAACTTCATATCATCCTTTGTCAGTATCATAGCTGTGAGCTACGAGGCCAGGGCCCATGGTGTCACCAGGAACATGTGGGTGGACGATGCAAAGAAACTTTGCCCAGATCTCCAGGTAGCACGAGTGCGTGAGTCTCATGGCAAGGCAGACCTGACGCAGTAAGTGTGGGTGATCTACTGCACATCCTCTAGAGACCTATCCACAGTCGGGATTGTGCCATAAAACAATCATTTTATTGATATGATGAATGGTTAAATACCTCCACCAATCCTGTGACCAGTAAAGTACATAACCTACTCACCCCTGTGTAGTTATAGGGAGGCGAGTGTGGAGGTGATTGAGGTGATGTCTCGCTTCGCTGTGATTGAGAGAGCCAGCATCGATGAGGCCTACATGGATCTGACCGCTGCGGTCCAGCAGCGGCTGAAAAACATGACGGACAAACAAATTGAGCCTCGCCTGCTGAGGGCGACCTACATCCAGGGATACCCCCAAACTTCACCTGAACATGAAGCATCTGCAGAGGACCCTGCCTTGGATAAAGGTAGGCTATAATCAAATGTATAATCCTCAAACTCTGGTAGGATGCATCCCCTTAAAGATCAACATGTTTGTCCCCAGAGGAGCTGAGGTCCAGGGGTCTCCAGCAGTGGCTAGGATCCTTACCTGCCCCTCTGTTAGGGGAACAGAGCCCTGCAGAAGTGCAGCTGACTGTGGGGGCACTCATCATCGAGAAAATGAGGGCAGCCGTGGAAAAAGACACAGGTTACAGCTGTTCAGCAGGGATATCGCACAATAAGGTAGGAAACAAGTTTTATTCCGACATAATGCCGGTGTGATACTTTTAAGAGTAGTAATGGTCGTAGTTCACCGCCCATTTCTTTCAGGTATTGTCCAAATTAGCGTGTGGTCTGAACAAACCTAACCGACAAACTGTTCTGCCTTTGGACTCCGTGACGGAACTTTTCAACTCTCTACCCGTTGGCAAGATGTGAGATCAAAGTACTACTCTGCCATAAAGAATTTACTGTTCACAAATTACACTCGTATTCGACCACAGAAAGTATAAAACAACGGTTGACTAACAACACTGCTCACTTCTTTTGCTTGTATCACCTGTGCAGCCGTAACCTAGGGGGTAAGCTGGGTATCTCCATTACAGAAACTCTGGGAATAGAGAACATGGGAGATGTGACTCGCTTCTCTCACGCTCAACTGGGTCAGCACTTTGGAGAAAAGACGGGGTAAGACAAGCCAGACATTCCTTTTAAAAGTCCAGTGTCATAAGATCACACATGCTGAACAACAGGCTTGCTTAGTATTGACATTTATTACGTCAGACCATCAAGTGGAATGGGCATTTTGGTTAACATAGTCATTACATGGCCTTCTTAATATATTATTATACATCTTCTACTCTTCTACTTCACCTGGTGTCCCTGCATGATTGATGCCCCACGCTTATAGAACAAGACCGCTCTGGAAAAGATTCCTCCTACAAAGACGAGCCTGTTTGATGAAAGTTGACTTTGATCAGTTAACAGTTAACTTGAACTGTTTTATTTACTCTTGATAACCAACCACATCTACCATTGAACCGCTCTGCTTTCAGCCAGTGGCTGTATGACTTGTGTCGGGGGATTGAATTTGAAGCAGTGAAACCCAGACATCTTCCCATGTCCATCGGCTGCAGTAAAAACTTCCCCGGGAAGACATCGCTGGCTACAAAAGAGCAGGTACAGACCATCAGTCTGTGTTAAAACAGGAAGTAAATGTAAAAGAAAAAGTATTCACAGGAAGTGATGAAACTTTGAAAGAAGTTGTATCCATCTAGACGTGTAAAGAAGATGGCATTAAACACGTTCTTGTAATATTGTTGACAAATATGCAATCTTCTACATAATTCTCATGTATGACTTGCTTTCATAACCTCTGTGTAGGTTCAGTATTGGCTTCATCAACTGGCCCTTGAGCTGGAGGAGAGGCTTATCAAGGACAGAGAAGTGGTGAGCTATTTGTGATTGAGTAATTTATTACTTTCCCTTATTACAACAGCACGACCTATTTCCTCAACTGGATTTCCCGTTGATGTTATAAACGGTACATGTAACTGTTTCACATCAGTGCCCATCATTCCTCCTCATCTTACAGAATGGTCGAGTGGCGAAGTCGTTGACGGTTGGTGTCCGTCAGCTTGGGGACAAGAGGCCGAGCGGCTTCTCTCGCTGTTGTGCTTTAGTGCGCTACGAAGCGACCAAACTGTCCGACGACAGCTTTGCCATTATCAAGAGTCTCAACACAGCAGGAAACCACCAGGCAGCATGGTAATTAGAGTGTAATAAGACTGACATACTTTAAAGTCAGGTCAGGAGAAGGCCATGTGACTGATTATGCTCCGTCTTGCTTCATGTCCCCAGGACTCCACCCCTCACCCTGCTGCACCTTTCAGCTAGCAAATTCAGTGACAATCCGTCAGCAGGGGGCATTGTTGGCTTTCTTTCCAGTGATGTCACTTCAACCCAGAGTCTTTTCTCCACCACCCAGCCCTCCACCCAGCCACGCTCTGAACTGAAAAATGACTCCGCATGCATGCAACAGCCTGGCACCATCCAGTCCTTCTTTCAAAAGACAGCTGAGAAACAAAGACGGAAGGTTACAAAAGATGGAGATGAGGATGACTACGATATTGGCTCCACGGGGATTCCCCCGTCTTCCTCCTCTCAGAAAACCTCTATTACCGATAGTCAGTTGGAGGCAGAGACCAATTGCCCCGCTTCTTCTTCACTTACACGTATTTCTCACTCTAAAAGTGGTACAGCCAGCCCCCATTCTGACATTTCCTCTTTCTTCCACAAGAAGAGTATTGAAAGAAGCTCACAGGACTCAACATTAAACAAGCCTGAAATAGGACATGAGCCTGGCGATATAGAAGACACTGTTGCTGCTGTGTCGGAGCTACAGGCCAAACGTAGCCCATCTCAGCAGTCACTATGTGAAGAGTTAAGGGATGAACTGGGCATTGATCCAGAAATACATCGCCATCCTTCTAGCGTGGCCAGAGAAGACCTGTTAAACTGTCAACACTGTGGCCAGGAAGTGTTAGTCTGGGAAATGCCTGAACACAATGACTATCACTTTGCCCTGGACCTCCAGAACTCACTCTCTTCATCCACAGGTTCAGCACCCATCTCCTCCTCTTCCTCCACTGTCTCTTCTTCTTCTTCCAATGTTTCTCTAACTCCTCTCAGCGCCCAGTCCTCACGCGGAAAGAGAAAATCCAGAGGCCAGTCGAGGTCTCAACCGAAAAGGCATCGCTCCCAAGGTGGAAGCACGGGCACTCTGGATTCTTTTTTTAAAAGGAACTGAAGGTGTGCTGTAGAATAAAATACATTCTACTGATAATGCATATACAGTATATCACAGACTAAGTGAATGCGTTGGTGAAGGAATGGAGCCGTTTTGTAACAGGGCTTGTTTTAAATGATCAATGTTACTGTGCTTTATAAAAGTGTACAAAATACAGTGCAAACCAGCGTCTATTAAAGATACTTTTTACATTTTGTAGTAGTATACATTAGGTTGTAGTATTCTAATGTGTCAGCAGATGCCACTAATATGTTGAATATAGAGCAGCAATCCTCACTTGAGTCAATATTGAGTTTTCTTCTCTTAAGAGTTACAGAAAACGTTTGTCTCTTGTGAGACGAGAGTACATATTAAAAAAAAACTTGAAATACATGATTGTTAGCAGGATGAGAGCAATTGCACCATTACGAGGATGATCGTATTTCGTTTACACTTTGCTACCATGGTGAAACCATTGTTCTGAATGGAGAAATTGTAATTACATGGTCTTGCATCAGCTGGGGAGCTGATTTGGATGACAGTATGGGGAAAATGAAATAACACCCAACTCCATTGTGTGTAGTGAGTCATGGCTTTGTGACATCTGAGCCAGCAGACCAAACGCTGGGTGTATGATGACATGGTTGAAAACCTTGAGCAATTTTTTTTACTTTAAAGACAACACCTGCTAAAGATAAAATAAAACTTTAATTCATGTACAACATGATACACAAATTAGATCTGTACATAAAGATTGCATTTCACCCAAATAACGATCAAAATATTACACCTTTTAAAAAGAAACGGTCTCAAACGTGACTTCAAAAATGTGAAAGCGTGTTAGTGTCATTAAGAGGAACAGTGAGAACAGTGAAAAACATGTTTGAATAAATTGTAAAATCTGGAACTACTAAAAAGTCTATAAAATACTTCTCAGATGCAAAAAAACAACCTAACATCCGATAGTTTTCATCAAGGCTGTAAAAGTTTTGGTTGAAATGCGTTCTTAGTTTTCCTCTGAGTGCACACAAACTGTGCATAACAACAACACGGGGGCAACAAAACATGCCGCACATTTGAGTTGTCCTCTCACTGATGTTCGTGGGACAACAAATGATGTATCAGTCATATCAACAGGCTATATATATATATAATAAGGCAGGAACACAGAGTAGCAATTAACATTCATTTTCAAATTCGTCGTCTAAATATCCAAAGCGGTTTCAAGGAATAGCACCCAGCAACGTAAGTAGTAAAACTTTGGGGTATAATGGTTGGCTACTCAGACGGTAGTTCCATTAGGCACTGAGTTAAAACCCCATCACATTTGGTGACATCAGTAACAGCAGAGTTCCTCAAAAATAATTTCTTTAAAAGAAAGCTGCATCAGTAAGTGGCTTCACATACTATATAATCAAACATCTCTTTGGGAGAAACACCATTGCCTTTATTTATTTTTTTTAACCTCAAAACCTCCTTCACTCCCAAAGTCAGCAACAGAAAGCTGCACTGGAGTAGCTCTGTGAGAGAGGAATGCCGTCTACCAAGATATCTAAAGTGACCTGAGTAACTAAAGCACTTGAGCAGACAGGCGGCGAGATCATTACCATCTCACCGCACTATTGTGAGGCATCATTCGTGAATAGAAAAAACATTTGTAACATGACATAAGACCACGTGCGAGTTATCTTGGCAGGCTGACGCACAAACTCGGTCAAGTTCTAACTTTGCATACGTCGCAATATTCTCCTTTTCGTTCATAATGTGCGCCTGTCAGCTATATAATAGCTTGAAGCGAGGTGGTTTAGCATATATACAACCGACGAGCTGTGTCTGGGAACCACAACTTACTATTCTCTCACATAATTAATTTGTGGTTACTGAGAAAAGGGTAGCTTATTAAAATACAGCGAGGCTTATCCTTCCCAGTTAGGCACTATGCTGGTCAGTGGTCACCAAGACAAGATGCTGTGACATCGAGTGTGTGTGCATCTTGTTCAAAGTGTGTGTTAGGAGTGTGTTTGGGTGTGAACTGTAAGCAGCACTTCAACGTAGCCGTGTGCAAGCAATTTCCTAGTTGCCACTTGCAAGTGTGTGTTCTTGACACTCGATATGACTTTGGTGGATGTTGCTCGGTGAGTGTTATAGAGGTGGCTGAGGAGCTTCCTCTTATCAGTGCCGTAAAAAGCTCTCAACACTCTTTAGACCGCAACACAAGTATTATAAGTAATATAAGTCATTTAAAAAGGCTGTAGGGACGAATGAGGAGGATGGTGACAATAAGGCTTTGGAAAAGTGTGATAAAACATCAATCTTCTGAGGCAGGAAACAGGACAGAGTGGCCTGCGGAGAAAGCAGGTCTATAAAGCACCTGGTTTTGGGGCGGGACGGTGTTTTCTGTGGTTTTTCTCCAAGAAACTTTAGGCGGCGTCGTATTCGCTTTGGGATAGCTGGTACTGGGCGATGGGCTGCAACTTGGTGACTTGGCCGATACCTTTAGTCACGCCCTCTCTGAAGAGCACCTTAGCTCCTACCTTCAGGTATTCTGGGTGCTTGATGAACTTGAAGAGAACCACTGCTTTCTCCCCTGTCCTCAGCTCCTCCTGTGGTTCAGGGATGTATCGTAAGACAAATGACAGCATTAAGAATAAACCAAATGTCGGACTTAATCTGCTGAATACACATTGGGATATATAATAAGCCAAGGTTTTGGATGTAGAGGACATCCTTCAGACAGGAACAGTTGTGGCTCAGTGGATAGACTAACCTTGCCGTATACAGCTTCCACAGTGGCGGTCTGTCTCACATTGCCAATGTGCACAGTAACCTGGAAGCCCTTGTGGAAGGTCTTGGCGTGGAAGAGCAGCACGATCTCAGCCTCAAACATCCAGCAGATGGTAGGATCCATCTCCGGACTCACCATCACCATGCCCTATGAGTGGAAAATACATCAACATCGTACACACAAAATACAAAAAAAAACACACACTCTGCCTCTGAATACTGGGACAGTATTAGGAAACAGAAAGAGTTAGACACATTTGGCACAAACAAACAAACAAACATGTCTGACCTTGCGTAGTAGTGAGCGGTCAAAGTTTCCCAGGGCGAGTGTGGCAGCCTGGCCGGCCCTGAGTACCCTGCATCCCGAGCGGTTCCTTTGGATGCTCCCGATGGTCAGCTTGTGGAATTGCCCCGAGTCTGTGGGCCCTACTACAAGATCATCCCCTTCACGGCAAATACCACTGCACATTCAAAGAAAACCGTGGGTCAGAGAGTCCATGCCAAGCAAAAAACAAGTTGAAATACAGGAAGTAAGCAATTCATACACTGACCTGTACAGAGTACCTCCCACCACAGTCCCCACCTCTGGCACTGTGTAGATCTCATCCACCTGTAATGATGCACACCGATGTCAATCACATCAAAACCATGTGTATGTATTCACAGTGCACCTTAAAGAGTGTGTACGTGACGGCTGATCCCATGATTGCAGACGTACCTGAAACTCAGTTAGCTGTTGCATGAGCTCCTCCTGCTCCTTGCTGTTGCTGAGGGGAGGGATGATGTTGAAGAAGACCTTGAGCAAGTCTAGACTCTCACCAGACACACTGGACAAGGTGAAGATGGGTGTGACGCTGCCATGGAGAGCACAAGCATGTCAGGACAACACTGGCTAGTCTCTATCTTATACGCACAAGTACAACATATTCAACGATTCACATTGAATTATGTATATGTAGTTGTTTCATACGTGGGTGACTGGGCGAACTGCTGCGCTGCTGCGACGGCGTCGTCTGTGCTGCTAACCACCATGGGCACCTTGTTACAGCCTGGCTGCTTCAGGACACGCTCCAACTGCCGCACAGTGCGCTCCACTGTGGCGCACGTACAGAGGTCCACCTTGCTGATGACGATGAAGATGGGCACCTTCAGGGCCATGGCGAGTCCAAGATGCTCCCGGGTCGTTCCAGCTGGAAAACGGGAAGGAGGGTTTCATGACATTGAATCTACTCATTCGGATGCGGGTCGCGCTGCACAACGTACTTTTACATGCAAGTGCACAATCACAATGTTTATTCCAGGTATTGAGCATGAAGTACTTGAACAGATACATTTGGATTAAATTAATAAGAATGGATCCAGCATCCTCAGCAAACATTTCTTTGGAGGAGTTCCACATCTTTGAGGGGAAAGGACTGTAGTGACCTAAGATAACACCGCTTATCTGCCAGCACCTACTGTCAGTCTGAGGGTTAAGAGAGCCTGTAAACAAACTGATATGACCAGGTAGAATTTACCGCAAAGTGTGATTGATATGCCATTGGAGAAAGTAGATAGGATGATGCAGTATATGGCCATTGTGTAATCAATGCCTAGGCTGTCCAGAATGTCAAAGGCAACTTTTCTAAACACAGTAATCTCTCATAATCACAGCAGTGACCTGGAGGAGGTCTGGTGGATTGTCTTTCTTTGTCAACAAAGCTGACGCGTGAGAAGAAGCGATATATGTATGTATGATTGTCAGTGGTGAATGGTAGTTGATGATCTCTTGGTTCGGATACAGGATATATGTCTGAAATAGGCCGCAAAAGGAGTTTAAGGGCACTGACCTGTAACACACATTTACATGCTGACACAAACAGAAAACACACAAATCCCTTCATCAGCTGAGCAGCGGGTTGTTTTGCTAGTTGTGTGTTATTTTCAGTGCATCCATGGTTAAGTTGCAAAGGAAAAATGAAAGCCCATCGTCCCTCATGGAGATGCCAGGATATGTGGAGAAGCGTCACAGAATGACACAAGATGATTAGCCGCCCTTTGGCTTTTTGGCTCGTCACAGATACAACTTAAGACGAGCCCTCAGCATTACACGGATCCATTACCCTGTTTCATAATTAAAGTGGTTGCTCTTGGGTTGCAGACACTGTGTTCCCCGTTCTGGCTCATTGGTGGTCCTCATTCTTGAACAGCTGTACACCAGCACGCTAAGAGCTGGAGTTATAAGTAATGAGTGCTGCATCCAAGGCTCAGGTTTCAGCTACATGTCTCCTTGCCATTTACAAAAATAAAACACAAGTTCTTTACAGGGAGCCACAAGCTTTTCACAACATGCTGGTATGTGGGCCAACTTGCTGTGCCTGTCAATGCCCTTCCCCACCTGAGTCATATCACAGAGGTGACTGCATGAACACGTCACGTCAGGATGGCCGAGCGGTCTAGGTTGCTCTGTTTAGGTCGCAGTGTACCGTGGAGCCGTGGGTTCCAACGCCACATCTGACATCAATGTTATTTTCTACCAAATCTTACAAACTTAATCACACAGTTTCCTGCTATTACAGCCAGAATAGTAAAAGTAAAACTGTAAACAAATATATGATAAAAGGTAATAAACAAAATAAGTTGCTCAAATGTAATGTCAAAGTGGCGATAAAGACCCACTAAAGGTGGTGTGGCTCAAAAATGACCCACATTCATTTTCTATGCCATACAAGCAAATAGATTTGCAAAGCATTGTGGGATTCCAGGTGACTTGAGACTAACCGGCGATACAAAAAGGGAAGGTTCGAAAGTTAAAAAATGTTTATGCACTGAGGGAGGAGCACAGAGTTACATTCAGCGGGTCAGAGGACTCCGACATCAGAGTGGATGGTATTTGAGATATCCGAGTAGTGGAAGGCAGGGACAAGAAGTGGGGGTAAAGCCGCTGAGGTAGGAATGGTGGTCTGTTACATAAGCTCAGATAGCACATGTTTACAAAGTCACAGCTGGCCAAGTCTGCTGTACGTGTACACAAACACAAGCTCTCCCCGTCAGACTGGCCCTGCAAGTGTCTATTACCAGCTTGTGACCCTGTGACAGATCCACTTTCAGCTCGTCTCATCTGAATAATAAAGTGACCGGATAAAGTGCACACAGACAGACACCAGTACATTTTAACTGACATGCCACGATGCTCAAACATTGAAATTAATCAATCAATATTCACCAATGCCAGTATTTGCGCTGACGACCAGCATAGCGAAATCCGGGCAGTAGCTGGTGAGGCCAAAGATGGTGGTCTTAAGGTACTTGTGGTGACCCGCCAGATCGATGAATGTGATCATTTTAGAGGCCCTCTCACAAATCTCCTCCGCTGTCCGGGACTCGCTGTAATTCACAACCTAGGAAAAGAAGCAATAATATCTCGAGCGTCATCTTCTAAATCACATGACAGACAACATATTCCTCAGTTATTTATTTGAAAGTATAGGTCAGGTTAAACATCAGTCATTAACATTACTTGCTGATACACAACATTAACATTACATTGGATGAAACTTGTTTTTGCTATATTCCACTGTTACCAATGTCTGATCTAATTGAACATCTTTATAAGGAATGTCTGTGAGAACCATAACATAAGGAATTTATCTTGTGCTGCTATTTAGAACAAATGACGTAAGAGTATATGAATAAGGTACACATTATTTATTCTATGACTTTGGATCTTTTCTCACCTCTCCTTTAGTATTGAAGCCAAGGATCTCAAAGCTAATGCTTGAAGTGCGTCCAGTCTGGATCTCATGTAGGTGTCTGAAGAGGTTGAGCCTTGTTCTTCCCCGTCCATTGTCCAGCTCGCCCTGTGTCAAAACCCCCAACAGAGTGGACTTGCCCGAGTCCACATTACCCAGTACAGCTACTCGCAGGTCCAAGAACTGCAGGAAAGACACAAAGAATGAGCAGGGATATAATCAAATATGAACAGATCAACAACCAAAGAACAACATGCCCTCAAAAAGGAGCTCTACCAACCTGCTGGTCATCCGGCACTTTGCGAATGAGAACTTCAGCAATCTTTCGAGACACATCAGAGTCATAGTCCACATCGCTTTCTCTGAGAACAGTGATGTCGGCGCCAACCCTGTTAGACAAAAGAAACACAAATATGTAAGTTAAGTGTGCCGTTTTATTTTGTAATTACAAAAATGATCCCTTGTTGTTTACAGTAGGCATATGCAAATGGGACAATGGCTTTTTCTTTTTAATGCCACATTCAAACAAAAAGTGTATGTGATATCCTGACTTACTTCTCTGCCAGCATATGGAGCGTCCTCAGCGATGTCCTCAAATCTTCCTCTAAAAGTCCCACCAGCATTCCATTGTCCTCGACACCTATTTGATAGACAGCCTCGCCTCGACCCTCCTGCAGTCGCCATTTCATTTGTGTGGCCAGGTGCTCAAAGCGGTATTGCGTGGGGTTCACCAGCTTCAGCTAGACATGGGAAAGATAATCAGTCGTTAATAATTCAAGTGCAAATAACAAGCATTACAAAGGATCACTGTAGAGCTGGGGAAATACAAATATGGAATAGGTGCTGTATGTTTAGTTGATGTAGCAGAGGAGGCAGCTGTCCAGACAGTAAAAATGTTCTCGTTAATCCACTGTGGTGTTTGTTTATCCTGGTAAACCATGAGAGATAACACTTATATATTCTGACATATTACTGACAGCTTATTGTTATAATGATTGACCTATAACCTCCATGCCTTTGTCCTTGTTATAGTGTTATACGTCAACTAGCCCATTTAAAATAAATATATATATATTTTGAACATAGCACGGCCATTGCATCACAGCTAATTTGCTTACCTTGTACTCTATGTTTCCCTCTTCAGCCTAAGAGACGGGGAGAGAAACAAAAAGAGACGGACAGAGACAGAACAGGAACAACAGCTGTCAGACTGTAGAGATGTGAAACAACAGGCTATTGATTTGCTCAAAGACACAAAGAAAAGCCATCTGACTGAATGAGCGGTCAGTGCAATACTGTGAATAGACGGTCACTGAGAGCTATACAAACCCACTAACTGCTTAGCTGGCCTTAGTACACAGATACTTAATGTGTTATTAGACAAAGCATGTGTCAATGTCAATGTGCATTTAAGGTTAACTAGTGGATAGTCTTCTAGTCAGTATCTCACATGTTAACTAACAATGATGAGTAACAATGGAGCTGGTTACATGCTGGGGATCAGGTGAAGATACAACGACAGCCATGGAATATGTTGACATGTCCCGTTAATATTATGGTTTATGACTATGGGGCTAAACTGTTCGCAATTATCTGAATTCATATTAAAATTGTTGATTCCGAACCTAAACTGCTTTTATTTGGCTCCATGTTAAGTTAGGTTGAGGTCAACACAATTCTTTATTTCACGTTTCTGAAAAAACAAGGGTCACGTGTTGAAGTTTAAGTTACTAACATGATAAACAAGTGATCAAAGTAATCCATGTACAGTCCTTGGCTGGGTGGATGTCAGGGACGATAATAATAACAACATTAGAAAAATATAGGTCGACCGAGTACACACCCGCCCCGTTAGATATTTACAAACAGCTGTGCCTCTTCTGCCAACTAGCTAAATACTAGCCTACTAAAGCAAGGTGCTTTTAACTTAACAAACACTATGACTTCTGTAAAACTAATGTGGGTGACAAATTGTAAGTTAATTGCAATGCTAACCGATCATATCTATCTCGTTTATTTTCTCATTTAACGCTAAGTTACCGACAAGCTAAGTTACGTGTCAATGAAGTTCAACGCGTCAGAGTAGGACAGCTAGATGGGAAATACGCGGTTATTACTGTTTACATGTAACAACATGCACACGAACACCCTCATTATTACATTAGCAGACATTGTTATGGCTCTTCAATGATATTAGCTTGACTCCGCTAACGTTAGCGGTAGTTCAGTGCGTAATTCCAGCCTTACCTCTGGAGGTAGATATGGGATGTTATTGCTTGGTTTGAAGTTGCGAATGAATCGCGCCTTGGCTATCTTTTTGTTCTTCACACAAGCTTTTTTGGGGGCTACCCCAAAGCCACTTCCCGGCTTGGCGTTGGACGCAACACATTGAGACCCAGAGCCGTGTCCATTTCCTGAGTCAAACTCCGATGCCCGCGCATCCATCGGCTACTTTGGGACCTAACTTGTTAGCCTACCACTACCTGGATAAAAAACGATGCTATGTTATTAAAATAAACCTCAGCTCAGGCATGCAGGTGGTGGTGAGTGAAATTAGCCTGCTAGTGGTAGCTTACAGTCCCCAAAGTACAAAACAAAGCACCGACCGCCCCCAAAACTCTTCAAACAGAACAACAGCACCGGCCGAGACTGTCGTTCTGAGTTTACAGTGTGGCCACGTCACAGTCGTAAATGTCAAGGGGCGCGCATGATTTGATGAACAGGACAGCGCAAGTGAGCGGTTCCATTTGTTTTCTGGTTGGCACACGGTTAAACCCCGCCCGCCTAGCTACCTATGTTTTAAGAGCAAACACACACACACGAGCTCCGCTTTGCAGGGCTTTGCGTCAGACGAAAAGGAAATAATTACACAGCCACGTAATACTCGTTACACATCCGTAAGTTTGCCAAAGGATGATGCCACACAATATAAAATCGTGTAATCAATTTAGACATATTACACAATTTGACTTTGCTTAGCATTCAGAGGCTTTACTTCTTCAGTTGTAGCCGATAATTACAACGTGGAAGCATATGATATTCACACTAAAACTCATTACACAGAAAACGTCTAAATATAAATAAACCTGGTTTATTGTCATAAAGGTTTTGCTTCGTTATTTCACCAACAAAATACATGTTTAAATCATGGCTGAAATGCTTTAACCTTCTAAGCAAAGCTAAAGGCTATTCCTCAACAAATAGGTTTAGGTTAGCTCATCCACCGATATTATACTTCTTAACAATCATCATCATCTTGTCTATCATACAGCGTTACAGTGGTGTATTGAGCCCATGAATTTGGTTTTGCCAGGTAATATTTCTTTTTTCTCCTCGCACAAACAATAATTTAAACAAAAAAAGTGAGAGGACGGTTGCAATGCAAACTTGTACTAATTTATAACAAGTTAAGAATGACAAATAAAACTATGTTGACCATAGTTTTTCACACCATTTGATAGTGGGCGCTGCCAGAGTATCACTCGATTAGTCTGTTTAACCATTTGCTTATTGGGTAGACTATTTGATAATGTAACTTTGACTGAGTTTGGTTAAATTTGTTTTGCAAATTTGAACTGGAGCCATTGTCGCCAGCAGGCTTACATTCCATTCCATTTGCTCCTGTTGTTGTAATTACTTATAGAGTTATGGTGGTATCATACTTCAGCTATTCAGGCTCAAATAGTGTTTTGTATAATATGTATGTATAATATAATCACATCCTGTGCCGCTTGACTTTTTTCAGCTCTTTAAGTCTGAGATTATTTGTTTTTTTACGACACTTTATTTTGCCATTTGCAGTGTTTCTATTTAAAACAATTTAGTTTCACCTATATTCCATCTCAATCACATGAAAGAAGCATTAGAGTTGAATGTAATTTAGAGAAATAACTAAGTAACTAAGCAGCTCAACATTTTCCAAACTTATTTTAGATTAGTTGCTTTTATGATCTTTAGGTTGCACTTCCAGTTACATAGCTTAAAAGTTATTATTCTGCTTATTGCATAGGCCATTTAAGTCTGTCCAAAAATATGGAGCACTTATTCAAAGACCCATTGAAAGAACTACATGCATTGTTTCAACACATGGACTTGCTTTTTTACAGAGACTGTATTTGAGAAAAGTCAGCCAACTCCCCTGTGGGATATGAATACTTCTACAGTGCGGCATTTCTGAAACTCAACACTGATTGGTCAGGAAACCTCTGATGTAAGGGCTCAGCCTATTCACTCCTGGCTGAGAGGACTGTTTTGGGATTTTTACAGCTTGAAGTTCCTTTAAACGCCCTAATTCACATCCACATGCACACACAACACTCTCTTGGTTCTGCTCTTTTGGTCAGCATGAGTTATTCACTGGGGATTCTGCTCTGTGTGGGACTTCTGCACCAAACTGCGAGGGCTGTCAGTATGGATAAACTGGCAGACAACAAGATATGTGGAGATGCAGGATGCTCACGTAAGTCAGAGCAAAGGAGAAGCATGACGCAGTGTTTATCCTGAAAACTAAAACAAATAATGCAATGAAATGTATATACTTGATATCTTTTTATAAAATATACTTTCTTTCAACTTATATTTCCCTTTCCTCTTCTTTTTCTGTGCTTTATAAGATGTTCTCTCCATGGCTACAGCCTTGGATGACTTCACAGCTCCTGATTATCAACATCAAGATGGGTCAGATGGTCTATGTGTATTCTAAACTCATTCCAGAGGAGGTCGCCGGAGTCTTCTGGTCTGGCAGCCTATGTGAATATTCGTTACATGTTTCTTTTATCAGCAGTGCCGCTTACAATCAGTTACAAATGTAAAGCAGGATGTGACAAACAATTGAAAACTTTCTGGCCTTTTTGACAAGAGCAAAATGTAAGACATTTTCTTGAATATTCAATGTCATTGTAGCTGAAATAAACAAGCAAATATTACTTAGAGTCTAGTAAGAAAGGTTAAATGTATAAAGCATATTATATAATGTGGTGCATGTTAAATTGTTAAAGAGGCCATGTTATTTTTACTGGCAGGTTTACAGTGAGCGGTATGTGCACCAGATGGGCATCATTGGATACTTTCCTGCAACTATGGTGAAGGAGACACAGAAGTTTACAGAAGTTGAAGTTAGGATTCCCACAACTGTGAGTATAATATCTGAAATGAATATTTTCATTTTCTGGAACAAAAATATAGGTTGTTGTCAACATTTATCTCATGTTATTAGATTTTGTTTTGCCTTTTTTTTTTCAGAACATGGACTTCTACTGTGAATAAGACATGACAAACTGAAGCCTCTTTCTTCTAAAGTCTTGTTTTAAGTTTTATAGACGAGAGTATTCTCGAGCCAGGGTGTCAGACCATGGACACCACACATCCTGTGGTGTCGTCTCCAACTGGAAAGAAAACCTGGACACTCTCAGCCCTCCGTGGATCCACAGTCTGATTGTCTTGCTTTGTCTTAACAATATACTTAATAAGACACAATAAACCCTTTTTCATGCATGTCAATCCAAAATATTGATTATTTGAAAAGACAAGAATTTGTTTTTACAGGTTGCTACTTTGACTTTTCAGGATGGGTAATTGCAATTTTATCGTACATTTCTGCTGACACATGTACTTACTTACTTTAATTAGCTGTGAATATATTCTCCTATTATTATTGTAATTGTAATGCCAATGGAGCCTTTTTATTGCACTTTCAAGGTTTCTTTACACTGGTATCTGAAAAGTTACTGCATTGTATGCAATACGTATTAATACATTCTAGAGCAGCAGGGAGAGATGTTGGCTGTAGTCCTTTAGAGAAATAATTGCACAAAGGCATATACCCAATTAGTCATGCTAGCTTTTAGTAAACACATGATAATTTCTTTGTATTAAGTTTTTATAGCCAATTAATGTGCCACAATCCCCTCTCCAACAGACCCAAATCTCTTTTTGATTGGTTTTGAATCATTAGTATCTCTTATTTATGTGTCATAGCACCCAACCAGAAACAGTGGTGAATGTAACATCTCAATCAAATGTTCTCCATTGATCAGATCCAAAGATGTTTCATTTTTTTTTTTTAAAGACTCAGAAATCATGATATTCTTCTGAGCTGCCGTTTAATTTATCTGCCATCTCAGGAAGTCTCTTACCTAACTGCAGCATGCATTGATTTGCGGGGTCATTTTCATTTGTTTTTTTCTCTCTGACCTGAGGCATTTTTAACCTATTTAGCCCAAGAGGCATGCTTACGAGTTTAGGAAATAGGGCTGTCACACATTACGATCAATCTCCCGTCCCCTTCTCAGCCCAGATCAATATTAACCTGTCTCCAATGGGGACATCTACCACAAAATGTCACTCAGCAAAAAACATACCCGGGGCACGTCCGAGGGGTCTGTTTGACCAGGGAGAAGAGAGGAAACGAGAAGAGAAGATTGAAATGTTTCCTGAAGCATTTCTGGAAGTCATTTCGGTTCAGAAAAATAGCATCTCTCTCAATACTGGTATTGGAATTAAATTGGCATCATTACACAGTATGGAACTGGATGCGGAATTCAATGGTTATTACCAACAATTGTCCCAAAGCTCAGCATCTTTTGCGGTTCCTCCTCAAAATACACAAATCACAGTAAGTTACTCCTGTCTTCCATCAATCCCCCGTCAGACAGCTGTAGTTTTAGGGTGTTACCATGGTGACTGGCAGGGATATCGTGACGGAAGAAATTGATGTGTGTGCATGTTTGTGTATGAGCTTGTGTGTGTGTGTGTGTGTGTGTGTGTGTGTGTGTGTGTGTGTGTGAGCTTAAAGGAGCAGCTGCCAAACGCAGGCCGCAGTAGATGCGTTTTGTTTTTACCATCCGGTGTCACACCCACACCTCTAAGCCCAGCAGCACAGTGCCCTGTAAAGCTGAGAAAGCTTCAGGTCCGGTCAGCATCTGAGCGTGACATTGAAGACTAAAGAAACATAAGTGGGTTTTTTTTGACATCCCAAAAACTCACTGCGAAACAAAAATGTCGTCCAACAGCTCTCAATCGGAACACTCAAATTTCTTCTTGATTCCAACATCTGTCGTGGATTCTTTATCAAAGATGAAGCAATTATAAAAAGGTGAGGAGAAAATATAAGCAACAAAAGATAATTTCACAATGATTTCTGTGAGAGAAGTTCCTGGATAACAAAAAAGTCCAGAACAGTGTACTGGAAGGAAAGATATTGCTCCCTGAGCATGGCATGACTGGGTAAATGTTTTTCAAAAAACAGCTAATTTCTTTCCAAACAACAAGAGGCTTTGTCCCTCTGAGAAGAGGTATTTACTCAGGAGTCATTTAATATCCTGTATGGCATGGAAGACTTTGTGTCATGCATGACTAGAGGAAAAGGCACGCACGCATGTGTCTGTTGTGACTGACTTAAACAGCAGTGTTTTCGCGACGCTTGAATGATAGAGTTTGTCGGTGCAGATATTCTTCAAGTGTGTCAGAAAATGCCAGCTCGCTGCTTGTTTGAACTAAATCAATCAATCAGTCAGCACGAATCAATCACTGCCTCAGCCTGAGGATCAGCAGCGTCCTTCTCACTTGATTAATATCCTTTACATTTGAAAATGTATTTGTCAGTCCAGTTTTGTGTCAAAAAAATGTGTGGCCAACAACTGTCCACGTCATGTTTATCCTATTGCTATGATATGCCAAGGATAACACGATGACAATAGAAGTGTTTAATCGAGAAGAAAGTGCAGCTTCAATGATATTCTCTTTGCTTCACTATCTTACTCTCTCGTTCTCTTTCTCTCTCTGTCTCTGTTATATGGCTGACTCATATAATTGCACAAGCTAGTGTAATTCCACCCATTTTCTGTGTCACAGAACCGCACAAAGAAACCATTGATTTCTTTTAATGCGTGTTCAACCCTCCAAACTCAGAAAACAATGTTATCTAGTACTTGAGGGTTACTGCTGTATTAGAGGAAAAAGTAGTTTTCGAGAATATATTGGAGCCTGTACTTTGAAATAAAAGGAACAACATACTCCTCCCTAAAAAGTGTGTGTGGAAGTGGATGGGCTCACTTGGGGTGAAGAAGAGAAAAACTGTCAGAAAGAGTTAAAGAACATCTTTCCAGAGTGTAAGTGAGTGAGGTATTGATCATTTTCATGTTGCTCCAATTTTCTTCTTCATCATTACGGTCGCCTACATTTCCATCACACCTGAATAAACTCTCTTCCCCACACAAGGAAATCAACTTCCTTCCATTTCCTTTTTACCCCTCTGTTTTGCCTGTCACCGTGGTTACAAAATGATTTAGGGAAAGGCTACTGTGTGTGTGTGTGTTAAGTGTGTGTGTGTGTGTGTGTGTGTGTTAATGGGTGTGGGTTTTTGGGGGCTTAGCCGTGTGTAAGCGGACCTTCAATCATGATCCATGAGACACTTTGTGTGAAGCAGCTAACCATCTCTTGTTTAATAAAGAGTGTGTAGGTCAAAGGTCAAAGAACTGAAAGAAAAAGACAGGAAATGAATGATACCATGGGGACATTAGGCAAAGCCATTAGCCTGTAATTAAAAAAAAGAGATACACAAAGATAAATACATGGTTAAAGGAAAGTGGCTCAAGTATAAGTCTTGTTGTGAGATTTGAAAATCCATATACTCTAGTATAAATAAATATGGGCGGCCATCGAATTCAACTACCTCATCCACATTCTTGAAATCCAACCATGACATTGAAAATATTTTAGGTATCACTAAGAAAAGCCTTCTGTACTCCAACACACTCTACCGGGCTGGTTTGCAGTGTTTGGCATCGCGCAATATTTCAGAACTTGAGCGAACTCGAACTTCTCCTTGAGCGAGACTCTTTCCATAATGTCAGACACTCATAACAACAGTCAGAGCCCGTTATAGCAAAAATAAGCACTTTTATGGGACGTTAATGACGGTGCCAACTTGCACTCGCAGCCTTACCTAATTCTGGACCACTTTCAGAAATTGTTGTTGTTTTTAGTCAGTCAGATAGAAAAACATGAAAAAATAAGGTCCAGGTTAAAAAACACCAAAGTTACACTTTAGGCGCATGTTGATAATGTCTTTCTCATTAAACTAATGAAACTGACAAAGACTGAGATACATTAAATAAATCTCTGTGGAGTTTCTTCAATCCACTAACCTTGTTTAACAAACTAATCAATGAAACTGTCTGCGGGCTGTCAGCAGAATACATCCTCTGTTCATTCCTTCATGCATGATTGTGACTTAGGGGTCACCTCACAGATTTACAGGTTTTGTTTTGTTATCATGAAACACAAACCCGGCCTTTCATTGCTTGTTCACTTCCTTGAAACATTTTCTTTCAGTATTTAAACACCAACAGAGACATAATGCTCTCTCAATAAGACAGTATATTGTTGGGGTCCATTTTGTCCTGAGAAGTCTCCCTGAATCAGGCGGACAGATTATCTCTAGCTCTTGGAGTCGCGGAAAGCTTTGATCTGAAATCTTCTACGTCTTCTCTTCAAATGATTTTTTTTCAGAGGTTTTTGCACAAGGCTCTGTGCTATTAATAGACTGAGTGTTTGTCATGACAACCAATTACCCATTACAAAAGCAGTAAGGCTAAGTAAGGCAATTAAGTGGTGAAACTAAATTGTGTGTTGCAGGATTTCTCAGTGTGCTGCCGCTCACGTATGTGGGTGAGCACACAGCTAAATGTTCCAGTGTGATGTTTGGTACAGTTGCATGTGCTGTGCTTCATTTCTATAATGTCCTAGTATTTTATAAGCAAACTGTCTATTGCTGACATCATTTTAATACGTTTTATCTTTTATTTTAGAAGCAGCAATCATACAGCAATGTTGTTATATTAAGTATTACGCATTGTAATTTGAATCAAGCAATACAATTCAATAGTGAATGGGCATTGTTAAGCACAAAAAGTGGGAAGAATGGCCTTAAATGGTTTATTACTTTTAGATGATGAGGTGTTCATCATTGTCATAGTGTAACTCAAAATTAAATAAATATACTTCAATGACTAATGATTGAATAACAATAAACAACATTCTTCCAAAGTTGTATAGCTCTGCTGTCTGCAATTATTATTCACCGTAGGTTTTTTTAAGCACAGCAACTCTCATTCTTAGTGTTCTGTGTACCACACTGCATAAGGCCGCGTTTCCTCCATTAGGTTTCCTCCTGATTCTTTCAAGTTCCATATCTCACTCTTGCAGCCACCCAAAGCTTGTTGCCAGAGAGTGACATGACTGACAATGTTAAAAAAAGAACAACA